TAGTAGCTACCATGTTCCCTCGCGGTTTCCATAATTCCCAGCATCTACACATCATACAGTAATCCCTACTCTATGATGTGTAGATGCTGGGAATTCTGGGAACCGCGAGGGAGCATGGTAGCTACTAGCTAGCTCCGCCCCCTCCCTCAGACCTCCTGTGCTGACAGCCGCATGGCTGTCAGTATCAGTGAGTGTGCCGCTGGATCGCTTAGGCGGCCGCCCGGCACACTCACTGATCCTGACAGCTGTCAGCACAGGAGATGGGGCCGCCGGCCGCAAGGTGAGTATTCACCTCAGAGTGTGCCGCCGGACCGGCCACCCGGCGGTACCGACATGCGGCCGGCGGCCGCGATATTATTAAAGTAAAGGGAGGCTCCCTCTCTCTCTCTCCGGCCCCCCAGGTGCCGCGGCCCACCGGGAAATTTCCCGGTATCCCGGTGGGCCAGTCCGGCCCTGCCTGCCTCCCTCCCTGCATGTGGGTCAGTGGGGAGGGAGGCTGAGAGCAGAGCCGGCGCTCGGATAGCGCCGGCTCTGCATGAGCCGACAGGGGAGATCCTGAGATCTCCCCTGCCGGTCTCAATATGCATAGGCCTGCCGCGGGATTAGGGTGTGCCCAGGCACACCCGGCACACCCCGTGCGCACGCCTATGCTAGGAGATGTCTCCACTCCTATAGTCATAAACTAGATCTTTGTTTCCCATAAATGATTAGCCTATTCCAAGGCCTTGTCGGTTAATAAGTGCATATAGAAACCAACCTTGGACCTTTCAGTGAAACTCAATCTGATTTATAAACCCTTGACAGGTCTTAGGATTGCCACCATATCTAGGAGGTGGTGTCAGGTTTGTGGTCATACTGTTCTGACCAGAAGCTTCAAGCACCAGAGGCACAGGCTGGGGAGGTATAGGTGCAAGGTTTTCAGGAGAGGTGGGCTGTTCTGGCTAACCAGGTCTGGAAGGCCTGAGCGAATTGGTCCCTTCTATGGTCTATTTCCTCGAATTTAGCCTTGCAAGGATTCTGTGGAGCTGCCATTCCTGCAGGGTCCATGGCCCTATCCTAATGACACGGGAGCTGTAACCCAACACGCAGGAAAGAGGAAAGCCACAAAAGGTGGATCCAAAAGGCGTATTACCAAGCTTAAGAGTGGCCGGACTCAACGTATTAATATAGCGAGAATCAAGGTCAAGGATACAGAAATACACAAAGTCAAGACAAAGCCGGTGTTCTATCAGTTTACTGCCAGTACTACTTTCATTGCTGCACAGGTAATGCTTCCTCCACAGAGGTCCTGAAGGTAAGTTTTAGTTTTACACTTTCATTATAGTTAGTGCATTCACTAAGCTTAGGACATGGGACATTTAGGGTTAATGTTAGGGTTCAAATTAGGGTTAGGATTAGGGACTTGTTCCTATTTAGTGATATTTCACATTAGGGGAATATCACTAAATAGTGATTTCTCACACTTTATTTTAACCCTTACCCCAAGGGTTAGGGTAAGAATAGAGTGTGAGAGAGGTTAGAATCACTTACCTAACCCTAATTTGTACCCTCACTTAACCCTAAATGTCCCGTGTGCCTAAGCTTAGTGAATGCACTAACTATAATGAAAGTGTAAAACTAGTTTTACTTACCTTCCAGGACCTTGCTGTGGAGGAGTAGCAGGAGTGCTAGCACGCATGTGCAGCACAGGAGACAGCTGATTCCCCTCCCCGGAAGTGACGTGGGTATAGCAATCTGACGGAGTATACCAGACTGATAGAACACCGGGTCAGGATACCAGAAATCACGAAGTCAATACGAAGCCAAAGTCAAACACAGAAAATCACTAGGATTAGGATCACAATGATGACGTGGTCACTTTAAGAACAAGCGTGACGTCACGCCTACACTCTATATAAGGGAGTACGGCCGCATGAGTCAGCTGGACCGTGCAGCAGGAGGATGTCTGAGCGGCTCGAGGGAGGGGAGTACCCTTTCCAATGCCAGGTGGCCACGTGGCAGAAGCAGGGCTGCGCTGCCTAAGGTAAGTATATGCCATAGGAACTGCTGTTGTCAATGCAAGATGTCTGACAGACTGGTTCACATCTCTCTGCACCTATTGTTGAGTATCTATTCATGTGGAAGCAGTCTCCTATGAGATAGGTACTGACGATGTTGTCCTTCCTACTAGTAGTCAACTTATACACGGAATTGGCTGTTTTCTTGCATTGTGTTGGTTCCAGCCTCTTTCTTCTTTTTTCTCCCTGTATTCAGTGATAATCTTTATGCTGTTGAGATACTGGTATCATAGCAGCAGCTATTTCGGTAGAGTAACATTTGGTAATAGAGTAGAGTCCACAACATAAGGCTGATGGAGTAGAAACGTGTTAAGGAATCACTTATGCAGTCTGTGTTCTCTAACGTGTTGTTTTGAACGTGTTCCCCAATTATATGTGAATTAATTAACTATTGCTGGGATACCAAACATCCAAATAGTTAAAGGACCACTATAGGCACCCAGACCACTTCAGCTCAATGAAGTGGTCTGGGTGCCAGGTCCCTCTAGTTTTAACAATGCAGCTGAAAACATAGCAGTTTCAGAGAAACTGCCATGTGTACACTGAGGGTTAATCCAGCCTCTAGTGGCTGTCTCAATGACAGCCGCTAGAGGCGCTTCCGCGATTCTCACTGTGAAAATCACAGTGAGAAGATGCTGGACGTCCATAGGAAAACATTAAGTAATGCTTTCCTATGGGCGGTTTGAATGCGCGTATGGCTCTTGCCGCGCATGCGCATTCGGATCTGACGTCGGCAAGGGGAGGAGAGGTCACCAACGTAGAGAGAAAGGTAAGTGGCTGAAGGGGTTTTAACCCCTTCAGCCCAGCGAGAGGGGGGCCCTGAGGGTGGGGGGGACTTAATGACCCTGTAGTGCCAGGAAAACAAATTTGTTTTCCTGGCACTATAGTGCTCCTTTAATAAATGTACTTCCTAGCTGTCACAATACCTCTTCTTTAATGGTGCCGTACGATCACAGAAGTTATGTCTCGTCTGTGTTCTGATGCACACACTCATCCCTAGCTTCCTGGTGCCTCATTATGACATCATATATGACATAGAACCATTCCATTGGGTCTCCTTTTATAATCTCAGTCTATGTGGCACTTTTGGATGATATATATACACACTTGTGACATCATTCCCCTCTGTAACCAATCACAACCCAGTATAGGGTGTATATATATGTGTGTGTATGTATGTGTATATATATATATATATACTTATTGGTTGTCCTTGCTTTCTTGCATTGTTGTGGTTCTTGTTACCTTAGAGCAGGGGTAGGCAACCTTTTAGCAGCACTGTGAAATATGATTGTGATGTCCCGTAGCGTCGGTCCGATTTCTTTACATTGAGGTGTGCATGTTGCCATATTCTGCTTGTGTTATTTATAATGCAGTTGCTTTGTATCATTGTATTTGTGCGTATATGGGCTATTATATTGTATTTGTTTACAAGTAGTTTGTGGTGTCGTGTATGATACCTATGAATGTGGGCTGTGTATGGGGGCTGCTTGTGGAATTGTATGTGGGTGGATATGTCACATTGTGTATTTGGTAGTGTGTGTATGTGTGGGGCTGTTAGGCTGCATGTGGGGTTGTGTGCATGTATGTGGATTGTTGGTGGTGTTGTGTTTGTGCGGACTGTGTGTGTGTTTGTATTATTTGTATGAAGGGAGGGTTATTCTGCAGCTCTGAGGCTTCCCTGTGTTTTAGTGGGGACCAGGCTGGCCAGGTACAGCTCAAGGACAGGAGCTGCAACAGGAAGCTGTGGGCTGCTCTACTCCAGTGTGGATTCCCATTCACAAGTGCTGCGAGGAAGTGATCTGAGATGCATAAATGCATAAATGGAGGATTGTCCTTCACCACCTTTTCTTATTAGCAGATATCTGAAGTTTCACTGGGACTCCTGACAGGCCAGAGCCTGATTGGCTCTTGTAGCCTTGAGTGCCATGCATGGCACTAGTGCCGTAGCTTGCCTACCCCTGCCTTAGAGTGTGTTTATACTGTGTATTGCACTTATTGTTTTCTGACCTTGGCTTTTTTGACTATTCTTGCTTTCAGTTATCCTGACCTCGGCCTGTCTTTTTTTTATTCTCTGTCTGCTTGCAGACATTTAATTTAGCTGTCTTAGGCACTAACCCTGCTGATCTAAGGACTGCTACGTATTCCTTTACTATTTCCTTGAAGTTTGCGTGTTATGGTAAGTCCATTCCTGACATAAGTGTCACGTATTCATCCGCTTATAAAAATGTGGTTAATGGCATTTACTGTCCACACAGGAAAAGTTGTGCAGAGCAGCAGCCAAATCCACAGAAGGGTTAATGCTGAGCAGCAATTATGCAAATGGGAACCTGGTAACTGCTTTTGGGGTCAAAGGCCGGTTACAGCCTACCAGACCTAGAGGAGGGGTATTTAGGCCCAGTTC